GCCAGGACGGACTCCTCCTTCCCCATGATCCCTTCTTCTTGCCCAGTTTTGGATGATTCGAGTTCCTCGGGGCATCACTGGCGGCGAGATGGATCTTCCTGGGAAAAGCTAGAGTTGGAGTTCGTCACGGCAAACTGTACATCATGGGGCTCCCTCAAGAAGTTTTTAGCCTTGACCACGGCGCACGTCGTCATGTGTCAGGAGCACAAGCTCATCAGCGCCGAGGACCTGCGTAAGGCCCAGGCTTGGTGTGTTCGAAATGGTTGGAAGGTGCATTTTGAGCCAGGAGTTTTGGGACCTGGAGGGGGTCCGTCCTCGGGAGTCGGGGTCCTGGCTCGGTCCTTCCTGGGTCTGCACTACCCCGATGTTGGGCCTCGGGTGAAAGATCATCGAGCCACTGGGGTGTTAGTCCATCTCCCTGGCCAGGCTAGTTTCTATGTTATGAGTGTCTACCTGCAGGATTGCGCTGGCTTGAACGATCTCAATCGAGAGATCCTGGCGTGCACTGCCTCGAGAGCCAAGAGCCTCTCGGTGCCTTTCGTGATCGGTGGGGATTTCAACATGGAACCAGCGACCTTGTGCACCTCGCGGATCCCCGACCGCCTCGGTGCTGAATGTTGCATTCCCTCGGGTGTCCTTGGCACCTGTAGGTCGACTGGGGGTTTGAAGATGTACGACTATGTTCTGGTTGAGGCTAGGGTCGCCCAAGCTATTGCGAGCGTGAAGATTATCGCGGACTCGGAGTTGGCTACCCACGACCCCGTTTCGGTTAAGCTTCACCCTCAGCTTGCGTCTCTTCGGGCCCTCACTTTTCGTAGCCCACCTCCTTTCCCCAAAGAACGGCCCCCTGGTCCCCTTCCCCAGCCATCCAAGGATTGGGACTTAGTGTCCCGCATGGCCTCCAGAGCCCTTGAGTCGGCCGATAATGGCGACACTGGTAGAACCCAGTTCAACCTTGATGTGTTGTACCGGGAGTGGGGTACGGCCGCTGAGAAGGAGCTCGAGGGTGTGTTTCAGACCCAACTGCCATTTCATGGCACGAGAGGCCGCCAGGCGCAGCTGCGATGGGTCAACGTCGTCGACGCGTCGCATCGCTCGATGGATGGCATCTCGCGGACCTCGCGCGAGGCTACCAG